GTGAGCGCTCACTGCTATTGGTGTATTCTTTTAGATCATCCAATAGCAGCGAGAGCTCATTGATCCGCTCCGCAACAGTTGAGTCTGCTGAACGCGACCAATAAAAACGCACAAATGAAATAGCGGCCTTAAACCTAATCTACATTGGTCGTATACGTCGTAAGCGTCGTGCGACTTTAAAATTGACATATCGGATTGGCTGACGCCTACGATACGACCGATGTAGATTAGATCTTAGACTAAAAATACTAGAGACTTTTGGAGAATCTTAAAAAGTAGAGGAAAATCTTCGATGTGTGACTTTTGGCAACCCTGCCCTTCGCCTTCGGACATACATGTAATTGCACGTAATGTAATATAACGCATATTCCGAAATCCGAATGCTGCGTTATTATTCTCGTATTGTCACTTTGTGAATTACAGTGAATTGCTATGGAGATGATGTAATTCACATCATGCTGTTATGTTTTCTTTGTCATTATCATTAATAAACATGCTATCTTTTTTCCGAAAGTTATCAATTGGCGGAAAGATAAAGGATGGTATATTGCCAGAGACAGTCATGGGAACGGCAGAGGATCTATTGACGGTGAAGAATCAAACGTTAAAGACGGATATCGAGTTAAAAGAATCCGTTTACGGCAAGTTTTGCGCTCTATTTGTGTCTTGTAACGCGCGACCTTTTGGATATTGTCCGATGTCATTGAGATGGTGCGATATTGCAAATGACTTGTCCCTTATACGCTTATTAAAACACTCAAGTGACCACTGAAATTTTTCAGGCAAATTCTATCAATTTATATTTAATCGGCAATTTTTGTTGCTTTTCAGATTTATTAAGGACAATCAAGGATCCTGAAAAACCACAAACTTTGGAGCAACTGGATGTTGTATACGAAGATTGTATAAAAGTTTGCCACAGCACACCAGGAGGGATTTCTGTCATTCGTGTGGAATTTAATCCTACAGTGCCTCATTGTTCTTTGGCAACCCTCATAGGATTGTGCATCCGCATTAAATTGGAACGTCAATTATCAGCGTCATTTAAATTAGATATCTATATTAAGAAAGGTGCACATTCCACTGAACAAGAAAGTATGTATGCTTCTTAAATCTTATTCAGTTTTCAGTGTATAGTTTGTTTTTAATTATTTGCGTTAAATTGCAGTTAATAAACAAATTAATGATAAGGAACGTATAGCGGCTGCAATGGAAAATCCAAACTTACGGGAACTGGTGGAGAAATGCATACTAGAAGAGGATTATTAGTGTTGTGCGATAAAGCATGTACTATTTACATCAAATATTTTTCTGAATACCTGAAATATAATTTTAATCTAGTTTATAATAATCATGTAAATAAATAATGTATTTTGTTTATATTGGCATATAATTAAGTCCAACTCATCTCGTGCATAAGCGCGTAATCAAATTATTTCAATAGAGATATTACAATCATTGTAAATCAAATTTTTATAACTTGATAATTGTAATCTTGCATTTTTCATAAAGATGCATAAGTGTATACCTATCTAATCGTATAGACACCCCCCTCGAAATATTTAATTATACATTTTATATAACGTAGATGCGTAAAAAATACAAATTTTGTAGACAAATACATATATAAACAGTGATTAAATCAATAGAACGAAAAAGTTCAATTATTTCATTGCGATATTTTTTTCAATTTTTCTTTAACTCTCACAAAAATAAATATCGTTGGCTGCATTCAGTAGAATGTTTATTTTGCAACTGTTGAAAGTTTTTTCGTTCTAATTGGATTATACTTTTAGATCTAAAAGCATAATCTAATCAATGAAGAAAACTTCTAACAGAGTTGTAATCTAAACGTCCTGCTAAACGCGGCATTTGTTTTTATTTTCTTTATCGAATTATATATAATAGCTAATGACTGATACAAATAAAGAATCAAAAAAACGTAAAATAATATTCCTTCATGTATTTAAGATGTATTTTATTTTACGAGTATAACCTCTTCAAGAGAGAAGATACAATTTTAATTCATATAAAATGATTTTTAAACACGCTGACTACTTTTAAATTCTACTCCGATGTTTCAAATTACAGGAGAAATGCTCGATCGAGTGTGCATGCACTTGATATGCGTAACACTGTACGTATACATACAATGTACGGAACAGTGAAATAAGCCCCGTGATGACGGTGACGACTATACCGGATCACATTCGCATCGCGTGGCGTCAGTCGTCAGCAGTCATCAGTCGAGTGTCGAATCGAGTGTCGAGTCCAGTCGAGTCTCGAGCAGCCTCGAGCCTCGAGCTGCGGGCAACGTGTTGCAAGTGCCTTTTTTTTACTTGTATTATTAATCGATGTTTCTGGAAGAAAATATTTTCGAATATCTTTTTAAAAATAAGTGATCTATTTGGAGAGTGAACTAGTTTTGATTTGCGAGATACAAGTTAAAAATTCCTTCGTAAGAATCTATTAATTATTATTGTTAAAAATATACAAAGTTTGTAATTAAATTTAAAATTTAAATTTGTATTTATAGTTACGTATACATTTTCGAATTATTTTTCTTCTTATCTCCTAAATTAATCAGCAAATTTTTAAAAATTACACATTTTTTTATAAATCTACGTCTTAATAACATCGTATAAACAGGGAATGTCATTATTTAAAAATATAATTTATACTTACATATATACATACGTATATATGTACAAACATGGTATATAATTAAATTTCTAAAATTTAAATTTAAACGATTATAACTAAATTTTTCTTGAAAATAAAATATATACGTATACACTTTTTTTAGCCAAGTCAAGTGAACAACGTTATAAAACATCGTGTGATAAAGATGGGCTACAGTTTGTCTTTCTCGATTCTTATCGTCCTATTATTCAAGTTTTTTACTCATGGCTTACCAATAGAAGAGGAACTTTACGGTATAAGATATGTAAATATTTTAAATATATTAAGTTATTAGGAATGTTAATAAGAATATTTTAAACATTTCTATTTGAAACATTATTTTTTCTTTTTCACACTTTTCCGAGAAACCTAAGGTATTTTTTGTACGAGTGATTAACTAAAAATTTCTTGTATCATTATATTATTATCTACCGTTATAGTTACAAGTAAAGTGTGATAAAAACAACTCATGCCAACTCAAGGGTTAACAGATCAATTTGATAATTGCGTTTTTAATGCATTACAGAAAGTCCTATGAATAATTCAATTAAATTGACGCGATTTTGCAAAATATATTGATCTGCTTTCGAAGCTATATGACTAGATAAACGTCACAGAATGGAGTTCGGGGTGAATCGTTATCGCATTTACACACGTTTTTTTTTAATTTATTTTCTATTTAATTCATTCTCTATTATGAAAATGATATGATTCATTCCCAGCATTAAGTAACATATACTTTCCGATAATATTAATATGCGCAATATTGAAATGATAAATTGAGTGTGTTTACGTTCAGTACCTATCAACTGTTTTTCTTTGCTTTCTAAGATTTATATCAGAAATATTATCCATAACTTGATCTTAATTTTGATAACTGTTTCTGTAAGTTATTTTTCTTTCAAGAAAATAGAGAGTAAACTTCTAAATCAACATTACATATTTTTATAATTAAATCTTACATTAGAGTTCAAATTGCTACATTAATCAAAAAATATAATTTTAATATTTGTTTGTTTTCTTGAAACTCGATTTACGAAACTATCTTCTTTGTTCACAATCGTTGGAAAATTATTAATGTCTGGATTTTTCGTTAAATATTTTCGTTAAATTTTTATAATTATAGTTTTTCCCCGCTGTTTTTCCCCGCTGTTTTTCCCCGCGGCTACCAAATACTATAAAGCTTTTACCATTATGTACCAATACCGCAAAGCGACGCAATATATACATACGTGATTAATTTAAATGAAAGATCGACAAAAGTCGTCGCGTGTCCATAATTTTTTACGTTATCGATAGTCTCTATTGCTCCTTTATATAAGCATAAAAAAAGCGTTTTCATTAAATATACACTGAGAAAAAAAATCTTAATTTCAAAGAAATATTTCTTTGCTCTTATTCAAATTATTACTTTGGATCAATGGAAATTTCTTTAAAATTAAAGTATGTTTTTTAAAGTAAAAAAATATCTTAATCTTCAAAGAAATTTTCATTGATCCAAAGTATAGTAATAATTTGTTTGAATACAAGCAAAGAAATATTTCTTTGAAATTAAGATATTTTTTTCTCAGTGTAGGTATGATGAAATTTATTCGCAATCTAGAAAGATAAAAATATTTTTTATTAAAGATAAAACTTAATATATTTCATGTATCATAGAAAAAAACGATTTATTTTTGTGTATGCTTTAAAGCCTTTCAATATACCGCTCAAAAATTTCAACACGTCTTATATGTTTTTGCTCTAACAATTTTATTTTTCATATATAAAATATAAAATTATAATATATAATCGGTCATGAAAGTATTCAAGAGTTGCGAATTGCCAAAAAATTATTATAAACGGAAATTTTAGGTTTTTTCAAATAGGTGATTATCATGTATATCGATTGAAAAAAAGATATCAATTTCAAATTTTGCGCTAAACAGATAAAACACCGATAAAACATTTGAATATCATGACGATTTACAATGAGAAAATAGAAACAATACATGTAGTCTCATAGAAATTAAGTGTCGAATTAAACATAAATGTTTAATTAAGATATTTGAAAAATTTATCGATCACAAAATATCAAGAATCTGCTTTCTGTTATTAAAACCCAAGGAAATTAAGTTTGAACTAAAATCTGAGAAGACATAAGTTCACTTTTCCTAATTTTAGTTAAAGTATGTAATAAATTAAATGGAGAGTGTGCTAAAACTATTAAGCAGTAGTGTATAATTTTATAATTTTCCTGGAATATATATAAAATTTAAATCTGAATTTCTGATTAACTTGTTTAAGTTAAATAATTTAGTCACAAAAGTTTAAATTAAAAGTAATAAAAGGGAAATATTTCTATATAACGAGAGAAAGAGAGAGAGAGAGAGAGAGAGAGAAAGAGAGAGAGAGAAGTGTAATATTTTTTTTATCCTTCTAGTTGAAGATAATGATTGTATGCACATTGTGTTGCGCAAATAAATACTATCATTAAAAAATAGTGTTTAAGTGTAATCTCATGAGAAAAAAATGACTGTCGGTCTTATGAGTAAAAATGCGGGCGTGCACAAGATTAGTTTTAACGACCGTGCTGGTCTTTTCCTTTATGAGCTTCTCCTATGATTCTTTACGAAATAATACCAGCAAAATATAATATATCTGAAATTGAAATAATCTCGTTTTATTTGAAAGCAGAAGGCAGTTACTGCAGAACAGAAGATGGAGAGAAGGGAGTGTGCAGAAAGATATACGAATGTCCATCCAGATTGCAAGAGGTGAAGGAGGGTAAAAGAAACTCGGATTCGAAAGGACGTTGCGGTTTCCAGGATTTCACCGAAATTGTTTGTTGTCAGTTCAATATTACGGATAAGATAGGACTTCGACCAGCAGAGATAGGTATGATATCATTTTGATCATCACGAAATGTTATTTGTTTCTTTAAATAGTAGAATAGGCGTTTCTCTCTCTCTCATATTAATCCGAAAATTGAAGAATTGTGATAATTTTTTAGATGCAGTGCAATTTCATGATGACTGAAAAAAAATTACGCGTTATAATTATTCTTTTTAAATTTCATTAAAATTAATTCATTTCTTATTTTTTCATAATGTGTCACACTCAATTTCTGTCACGATTTTTACATTTAGGATACGTTTCCGCAAAGTAAAATCTATCATCTGGATTTACAAATTACTGTGCTACTCAATCGTGAAATATTTTTTTAGTTCGAGAAAACTATGCAAAGAGACGAACGATTACATCGTTAAAAGATACGCTGTTGATTAATATTCTTTTTTTCAGAAACAGGTTTTTCAGAACAACAGCTATAATTTTTTGACAACAGTCTCTTATTTTCTTCCTTCAAAAGACAAAATGCGACAACATCTATGCTTAATTTGATGTGTTTTGTAACTTAGACCTACGTAGCAATAGCATATTATGATTTTAAGATACGTATTCGCAAAATATCTGCATCCATTCAAACGAAACGTTTTGATGTTTATCGTACTTATCATTGTATTTACGTCATTAACACGCGCTCGTGTGCAAATTGCATCATTTCCGAGAATCTTGTTTAAATAACGAACGGCCTTGAGATGAAGACGCGCACGGTGACGTAACAATCTTGATTTTACAGTGATAATTACGACGGATCCATAGATCCAGACGAGTCGGTTGCGCGTTAACCAGTCGATCGATTATGTTCTTTAGGATGCAAAAGGTGATCTTTAACGCGCGTCGTCGCACTTGGATTTTTAGCATGTCGTGAATATGAGAACGAGATCGAGACCAACAGTAAGGAGAAAAGAGACACGGCTGAGGTGCAATTCAACATATTCAGCGGCACTCAAACCGAGCGCGGGGAATTCCCGTATATGGTCGCCTTGGGATACGAGAACGAAGACAAGGACGATGACAATTCGGAAGCTATCAAGTACAACTGTGGTGGCACGTTAATTTCCTCGCAATACGTACTGACCGCTGCTCACTGCGTCAGTAATATACAGGAGAAAGTACCGGTAGAGGCAAGTAACGAAGCGAGCTCCAAGTTCAAGGTCGTGATTCACTGACCATCTAAATATTATATCTGCGTCGGTCGGATTGATTCGGGCGAAAGTGATTTTTGTATCTTATATGGAAAGACTAGATTCGCGTAAAATATTTCAATCGTGCGAAGATTTTTCAATTTTCATCTAAAAATGTATAAGTAGTAACAAACTTTTACCGCATAAATGTTACAGATACTAGATGTTCTGCAAATATAGACACAAAATTTTCATTTAACATTCCATTTTCCTTCGATCGATTTTGCTAATAAAATAAACAATAGCGTTTTTCTTCGTCAATCAAACAGATTTTACCTATTATTTAAGGATTATAAATCTTCTTTGCTTCTACAGGTGAGAGTCGGCAGCGAAGATTTGAAGAGCATCGGGAATGCGCAACGAATTCCCATAAGCAACGTAATACCGCATCCGCAATACAAGCGCAGCGTGAATTATAACGACGTAGCTATTCTGAAATTAAGTACGCCCGTACGTATGGAGAATAACGTACGACCGATCTGTATCCAAACGAAATCTTTAGATTCCATGAATGTACAATCGAACGTAACATTTATTGTGATTGGTTGGGGTGCTACCAGCTTCGACGAGGATGGCAGTACCAAATTAATGAAAACACCAGGTCTCAGGTGAGAATACAAGTATAATACGTAACGTTTCTTATTGTTAGTAACAACTCTCTAGAAAATATTTTCGAACAAATATGTTTACTGAAATTTTTTTACTAAAAATCGAATTTATTATTTAACTCTTATTAAGCTAGTATCTTTGTGATGTTATCTGACAAGTAGCATTATTACATAAAATAAAACATGAAATCGTCTTTCGTTAAAATTATATAATTTATCAATTAGCAAAATCTAATTTGTATAACATAGCCAAAGTTAGTTAACAAATTAGTTAACATAATTTTGACGATTGACAAAATATATTCTTGTATATCTGTTATACTGATGTTTAAAAAAAACCATTCAGCATTTATCTGGAGACAAGGTAGTCTCTCGTCGCTAAGACAAGCGCAATATTGTACACACCATACCGAGTAAAATAGCTTATTGAAATCGAAAACTCAACTGTTTCTACATACAAAATTGTTTTATACCTGAAAAACGATTGAGCTTTATGTTCACTAAGGCTTTTTTACTCAGTATAGTACCATACCATCATTATATGTATCATATAAATATATTAAATGGTTTTTCTTAAACACCTATGTATATCTTTATATAATGAAACAATGATGAGATCTACTATTACGATTTAAATTACACTCCAATTTCTAGTCTCGTAGACAAAGAATCATGCGCCAAATCGTTTAATGATTTCGGCAAATTACCCCGCGGTTTGGACGATAATATGCTGTGCGTATTGGATACCAATGTTACAAGAAGGTCGGACGCTTGTCACGGAGATAGTGGCGGACCCTTATTGATGTTCATTGGATCTAGTCACAGCATTGTGGGAATCACTGCTTTTGGACAAAGTTGCGGAGGATCTATACCGGGAGTTTACACAGCGGTATATTCCTTCTTGGCATGGATTGAGAATCAAGTCTGGCCAGAAATGATCAACGAACGATAGATGGATCGCTTTTCGTTTCGACTCTGTGTTCAATGACTCAACTACTCAGCACGACGTGACGCAATTTAAATACTCTAAAACGACTTGTGGTGTTATTACGTATGGTCATTACGATAATCTAGTCTGAGGCTACGGTCCACTTGATGCTACAAATGTTTCGAAGCATTTTCTCTCTCTCTCTCTCTCTCTCTCTCTTTATTGGTGAATTAGTAAAAATTCTTTCTTCCGATTTTTTTTTGGTCAATTAAATACTTCAAAGCATTTGTATTATAACACCAAGTAGACCGCACCCTGAGCTATTCGTGTACTCTATCCATGTAGCATTTACTTTTTCAATTTCTATCTTACAATGCGCTTTTGTGAATTTTATACTTTTATACATATGATTCTGCTTTTGAATATATGTGATTCTGAATGTACTTATACGTGCTTCAATAAATGTGAATATTCAGCTTGTTTTTCTTTCCCTTTTATTTTGGAAAATAACTTCTCTGTAAAAACAAATGATGCAAATTGACAATGTTCAAACTGTTCAGTTGAAAAGCCTTGAGGATAACAAACTTTTCTCGTAAATGGAAAAATGGCTGATAAGAAAGATGAAGAGAAGAAAGAAGATGATGAACGTGTTGAGTTCCTTTATAAATATTTGGTGCTTTCAAGAAAAATTAAACTCGACAAATGGATGAAGATGTTAACAAACGAGGAATACAAGGTGTAATATTTTCTTCTAAATCTTAACCTTACTCGATGAGAACTAAATTAAATTTTCATGTAACACACTATTGTCTTACTCTATGCTTATTCTAAATAATATATCGTTTTTTTTATTTTCTCTCTTTCTTATATATATATATATATACATATACATAATTTTAATTTATTAATCATATATATGAAAGAAATGCAATATTTAAATTGTACGAAAGAGCTTTTTCATCCAAATTCGAAGAAATTAAAGAAATTTTTTTGTTTTCGCGCGAAAGCGAATCCCAAATAAAATTTTTCTTAGACAAGTAAATTGTTCAATAGATATCTTATTTGTATTACGAAAATGTCAGGAGACGGTTATGAAATTCTTCGGTACACCGACGGAAATGATTCTAATAATACAACTAAATTCCGCCGGTGTTTTGGTGCCGTTTCTGGAGATACCACCGACAGGTTGGGTAAAAACATCGTATTTTATAAAAAAGAATCCTGTCGAGATCACGAAAGAAAATTACAGGAACATCATTATACCCGGCGACATGGCTTCGAAACCTATCGAAGAACTGTCCGTCTTGGTTGAAGAGGTAGTACGATTGCATACTCGAATTAAATATTGTTTGCATCTATAAAAAAAAGACTGAGCTTTACGTGAATGTTCTACCTAGGCTTATGTACCGATATTATCGAATCCGAAGAATCACAAGGGCTGGCCTCGTGTTATCGGTGAGGACATGAAAAAGCATGTTTACGATCTTCGCAACTTGATATGCCAGGTATGAGTAGCTTTAAACTCTTAACCCACAAGATAAAATAGCTAAGCACGGAACAAGTTTTCATTTCTTTTATCTTAATAAAAAAAATTTTTTCATAAAAAATATTTTTCAAAAATTTCATGATATTGTCTGAATTTCTTAGTATCGACGAAAGATACTTTATCACTTTCAGATCAAAGGTAAGATGATGGGACAAACCTTACTACCAATGCCAATGGATATCGAGCAGATATTCGAGGCGGAATGGAAAGCGCAGCAGAGTGGAGGTGTCGAAGTCGATCTTCCTTTAAAAACTAATATAGAAATTATCGTAACGAAATGGTGTTCACAAGTCGGTGATACGCTAAACGAAGAAAGCCCAAGAAATGATAAGCAGTTATTACCAAGCGCGGGTATTGCAGTATTTAAACTGCAAAATTAGAAATGAATTTTTTTGAAATGTTCTAAACATTGTACAAATTTTTTTTCATATATATGTTATTTATTAAAATATAATATAATTTATATATTTTTATATGCACATGACACATAAAAGAGTATATACACGGAGAGAATTTTCTTTTACAATTTACCCTGAAAATATGGTAATTGTATAATACAATATTTTAAAGATTTTTACCATGCATTTCAGTAAAATTGATCAAACTTATTTTATACTTTATTGTAATTTTATTAATGAGTGAGAGATTACATTAAAATTCTTCGAAATACAATGTCGTCCCACGACTGTCATATTTTCAGGGTAAATTCTAAGAAAAAATTCTCTCCGTGTAATAAGAATATATTTTTTTATTTTCCTCAATCAATAATTACCAATCAAATTTAATTGAAAGAAATTGAATTAAGAATTAAAGAATGTTAACCATCAATAATACACTTGCAGAAATTGATTTCTGGTGTCAAAGACTTGTAAACGTCGAATCTATTCACAATCAAATGAAGGATCTACGAGTGAAAAAGATGGCATCTATTCTAGAATTAACCAAGAGCCCCTATTCACCGCGTTTCAAGGCTCTGTTGAAGGACGTTATCGCTGGTTAGATCTTGCTAGCGTTAATAGAAGGATATACTATAAAGAGTATTAATGAATTATGTCGATTAGGCATTCCGTTTTTTTTAACTATAATAAGTATATATCGCTCATTCTAATGAGTTATTCTGAAGATTTTACTAATTAACTTTCAAAAAAACTCAACATACCAAAATTGTATAATATTCATAAGAACTTTTATCTTAAGCGGTAATCGAAGCACGCGATGTATGCGCCTACTTAAAAGCATTGGAACCTCACTTCGAAGATCTACAAAATACCGAATTCAAAGATATACAGCTGAAATTGAAACCACTGCTGCATTGTATATGCCTGATATGGTCAAATTCAAAATACTATTGTATTCCAACGCGAATAATTACGCTGTTATCCGAAATATCTAATCTGCTAATTACCGAGGTATGTAAGAAAAAATAAGTATTTATATATTGAATACTCGAGAAATCAAGATGTTTTGCATAACAACTAAAAATTAATTTATATTTTTCAAGAAAGTATGCGTTAATAAATATCTTTATCATCTCCATTTTGAAAGAAAGAAGATGAAGCTTTTTATTATATATTGTAATGTGGTTTTTAAAATTTTATATGTCCTTAATATTTTCTAAGCCATTAGCGCCCAAATGTTCTGCGCTTTTAACAAAAATATTAGGAATTAATGGGGAAATATATCTATTTCTCTTCTAACAACACAGAAATGTCTATTATATTACAAACTAGAAATTTCGCAGGCTGCCAGATACTTGGATCAGAGTACTTTATTCACTGGCGATATCGAGGATAGTCTAAAACGTTTAATGCATGTGACAAACATTTTAACTTATTATACAGAAATGTTTGAAACATTTCGAAGTAAATTGGATAATTACTTTAAACATCCGACCGAATCAATTCCATGGAATTTTGACGATGAACTGGTGTTTGGAAGAATAACAAATTTTCAAAAACGTTTGGAAGAAATCAAAGTTCGTAATTTATTTTTAAAATAAATATTAAGCTTTTCATAATTGGATTCGCGCATCAATTAACGTAAAAACAATATGATTATTATTTTTAACATAGAATAATTTAAATAATTCTACAAATAATGATAATCATTTATTATGTATTATTTGCCAGATGTTATTTGAAACGGCTCAAGAATATTTTAAACTAGAAAGGATAGAATTAGCAAGTTTAAAAAAGAAAACGTTATGTTCTAAGATATATGACATTTATGATAAATTTGTTAAAATCTACAATGAATTTGCCGAATTAGAATACGATATTTTGATGCCAGAAGAGATACGATTCACAGATCATGTTATTTCTTTTTTAGCAAAAGTAAGTACAATAATCGTGCATTATAATATATCGTATACGTCATTATTATTGCTTTTAATGTAAAGTATAAAATTACCGCCGCAATGTAAAAAATTGTTGACCGTAGGTGGAAGAATTTGACAGACAGCTGGCAAATATATTCGACCAAGCATTTTCTGAATGTCATAATACTGAAATCATGTTTAAAATAATATGGATTCTAGGCTCGATGGCCAACAGACCAATCATCATGGCACAATTATGGCACAATTACGAGAGATTGCTTCAAAGAATTCATGACCATTTTGACGATATTAAAGTGCTTTACAATATTAATATTTCATAAGCATAATACAAGCCGTAAAGATAGATGATGAGTTTTATACAGACTCCAATTACTTTTTTCAGGTCATATTTGACAGTATCTTCAGAGATTACAAGGAGGACGAATGGATTGAAACCGATCAGTATTTCCCGCATGTCGCTGGTGCATTATGTACGTTGACGCAGTTGCGACAACGAATAGACTATCCGATGCAATGTGCGAAATTAGTCGACCATCCTTTAATAAACCTCAGAATAGCACGTGAAACTAAACCAAAATACGATCAAATACAGGTAATATCTCACAAAATCCTAGAAAAAACCCGTGAACTTAATTATCATTTGACTTAGATTGGTATGTTCTTAGATAATCTTAAATCTAAGAACCCTTATTATGAATATCGGATTTTTCAATGTCTTTATTTGTTTATATTCACTTTATATAATGTACTGTAATACTTATCGTAATATCTACTTAATTTTATAAAATATAACATATCAAATATCACTTGTCACTCGCTTCTGATTATTGTTAGCTATTTATGATATAACGCGTTCAAAGTAATCTGATTGTAAAATAAATGTTAAGACATCTAATCTATCTATCTAATGTACTCGACCAATACTCGAATTGTGTTAATAAAGTACATTGTGTTTTCATAAGTCACTTATGGATGCGATGGAGCACAAAATATTCACGGACTGGGCCAACAAGATAGTCGATACAAGTAACTTTCATTTGTCGAAAAGCTTATTAACAGTACACGAGAATAAGCTACTCGATCTAAACTTTGATCCGGAATTGACTGCTCTACTGCGAGAAATTCGCTTTATGATCACTATGAAGAGGACAGACTTATCCGAAGAAGCGATCCAATTATATTATAGAATGCAATATTTTTTTGAGAGTACTTACAATCTCAATTTGCTCGTACAATGGTAAGTGAACATATGATTAACTGATGAGAAATAATTCTATTTACATACATCGTTCAAATGATAGGTACAATTGGATAAGAAATTATAGTTTGCCTGTGGAGTT